ATACATTACTTGATGAATGAACAAGATGGTGCCACTGCTTGGTAAAAAATATTTCCTTGTATCAGTGCAATGTAATGTGTATGATTATTTGCTTGTCCAGTGGTCGTCTATTATATGATAAGATGAATAAGCATTGGGTTAGGAGTCTTTTACTTACTAACCTTGTGATCTGCCTCCTGGTAAGCCGGTCTTTCTCAACTTCATTTTGGATGAAACAGTGAATGTGCTTTTTGTAAAACTGAATTTACAAATGTCATCTTTTATTGTTCCTAACATTTTTTATTCTCCATAAAATATGAATTATGAAAAACTAAAGAATACTAATTAGGAATATATAACACAGAAAGAGAATATAGTCATTAAGTAAAAGTTGGTTTGACTTAAATCCCAGTTCTCTACTGGCTAACACTTCTCCACATTATTGTTATTTTCACATTGTATTACAACAAAATCCTGAAGTATCTTCTGAACTATCAGGTACAGACTACATTACTTTTAATATGGTTTTAGTCAAGTGTATTTTGCAGTATTTTAACTTTTTAAAAATTATTAAAAGTGGGGCTGGGGCTGGGGCTGGGGCTTAGAGATAGAGCGCTCACCTGGCATGTGTGAGGCATTGGGTTCAATCCTCAGTGCCACATAAAAATAAAAAAAAAGGTATTGTGTCCACCTACAACTAAAAAATTTATTAAAGATTATAAAAATGAATATGGTCACATAATATCAGACAATAATATTAACCAAATCTTTCTACTTATACCAATAAAAGTTTAATAAGTACTATAGATGCCCACATATATGATGTTTTCTCCAAAATTATCCACTAGAAAAGAGGGAGATGCTTTATATTTCTTACCACATCATTTCAGAGTTCTCTTTCAATTACCTATCTTTGACAGCAAAGCACTGCCTGTAGGAGAAAAAAAACCAGTAGCATGGTAATTATCTCAATCAATGCTAGTCTTAGATGCTTTAAAGGTCACAAGAGAATTGCTAGAAAAGGTACTAAAGAGGGGCTGGGATTGTAGCTCAGTGGAAGAGCACTTGCCTAGCATGTGTGAGGCACTGGGTTCGATACTCAGCACCACATACAAATAGATGAAATAAACAAATAGATAAAATACAAGGTCCATCAAAAATTAAAAAGTATTTAAAAAAAGAAAAGGTAGTAAAGAAATTTAATATGACAGGGACACAAGGTTGGTTCAACATATGGAAATCACATCAACAGACTTAAAGACAAGAATCACATGATTATCTCAAAAGATGTAGAAAAGGCATTTGACAAAATACAGCATCTATTCATGTTCAAAACACTAGAAAAGCTAGGGCTAGTAGGAACAAACCTCAACATTGTACAAGCTATCTATGCTAACCCCAAAGCCGACATCATTCTAAATGGAGAAAAAATGAGAACATTATCTCTAAATACTGGAACAAGACAGGGATACCCACTTTCATCACTTCTACTTAACATAGTCCTGAAAACTCTAGCCAGAGTAATTATACAGAAGAAAAAAATTAAAGTGATAAGAATAGGAAAAGAAGAACTCAACTATCCCTATTTGCTGAAGACATAATTCTATATTTAGAAGACCCCAAAAATTCCACTGGAAAACTTCTAGAACTAATAAATAAATTCACCAAAGTAGCAGAATATTATCAGCGATTAATCAACTGAGTGAGAAATTAGGAACACTATCCCATTCACAATAGCCTGAAAAAAAAATATTTGGGAATCAATCTAACAAAAGAAGTGAAAGAATTATTCAATGAAAACTACAGAACATTAAACAAAGAAATTGAAGAAGACCTTAGAAGACGAAAGACCTCCCATGTTCTTGGATAGGCAGAATTAATATTGTCAAAATGCCCATACTACCATGGGGCTGGGGTTGTGGCTCAGTGGTAGAGTGCTTGCCTCACACATTCGAGGCCCTGGGCTCAATCCTCAGCACCACATAAAAATAAATAAATTAATTAATTAAAGATATTGTGTTCAACTACAATTTAAAAAATGCGCATACTACCTAAAGTCTATAGAGATTTAGTTAATCTTGTTAAATCTATTAAAATTCCAATGACCTTCTTCATAGAAATAGAAAGAGCAGTCATGAAATTTATTTGGAAAAATAAGAGGCCCAGAATAGCCAAAGCAATCCTCAGTGAGAAAAGTGAAGCTGGAGGCATCACAATATGACCTTAAATTATATTACAGAGCTATAGTACCAAAAATGGCATGGTATTGGCACCAAAACAGACATGAAGACCAATGGTACAGAATAGAAGACACAGATATAAACACACATAAATACAGTCATACTAGACAAAGGCGTCATTAACATACATTGGAGAAAAGATAGCATCTTCTGTAGCAGAATGAAATTGAACCCTTATCTCTCACCCTACACAAAACTCTGGTGGATAAAGGAACTAGGTATTAGATCAGAGATCCTGTACCTATTAGAAGAAAAAGTAGGCCCAACCCCTCATCATGTTGACTTAGGAACCAACTGCCTCAACAAGACTTCAAGAAATAAAATCACGAATCAGTAAATGGGATGGTATGAAACAAAAAAGCCTTTTTTTTAGAGCAAAGGAAACAATCAAGAATATGAAGAAAGAACCTACAGAATGGGAGAAAATCTTTGCCACCTGCATCTGAGATACAGCATTAATCTCCAGGACATATAAAGAACTCAAAAAACTTAACACCGAAAACCAAATAACCCAATCAATAAATGGCCAAAAGGACTGAATAGACACTCTATGGAAGAAGAAACATGAATGGTCAACAAATATATGAAGAAACATTTAACATCTCTAGAAATTAGAGAAATACAAATTAAAATTACACTGAGATTTCATCTCACTCCAGTCAGAATGGTAATTATCAAAAATAAATTTTGGCAAGGATGTGGGGGAAAAGGTACACTCATACGTTGCTGGTGAGACTGCAAATTGGAAAGCACTTTCCACTCTGGAAAGCAGCATGAAGATTCCTTAGAAAATTTGGAATGGAACCACCATTTGACCCAGCTGTCCCACTCCTTGGTTTATACCTAAAGGACTTAAAGTCAGCATACTACAGTTTTTGGCAGCTCGATTCACAATAGTTAAACTATAGAACCAACCTAGGTGCCCTTCAACAGATAAATGGATAAAGAAAATGTGGTACATATACATAATGGACTATTACTGAGCCTTTAAGAAGAATGAGTTTATGGCATTTGCCGGAAAAAGGGTGAACTAAAGACTATCATGCTAAGTGAAATAAGCCAATCCCTCCAAAAGAAAGAATTTTCTCTCTGATATGCAAATACTGACTCACAATAAGGGGCGGGTTGATAGAAGTTCACTGGATTAGACAAAGAAGAATGAAGGGAAAGGAGGGGAATGGAAATAATACAGACAGTAGAATGAATTGGACATAACTTTCATATGTTCATATATGAATATATGACCAGTGTAACTCCACATCACATACAAGCACAAAAATGAGAAGTTATACTCCATCTGTTTGATATGTCAAACACATTCTACTGTCATGTATAAATAAAAAAGAACAAATAAAAAAAATTTTAAGAAAAGAAACAAAATATAAACAAATAAATAAATAAATTTAATATAAATTTAATCATTTATTCCTTACAATGGCTAGCATGGCTATCAGTGTAAACAAACTTTTAAAAAATAATACTGTATGTACTTGTGTTGTAAAAGTCAGGATAAATATCTATAAGATGTATTAGAGGGCTAGGAGTGTAGTTCAGTGGTAGAACACTTGCCTAGTACATGAGTGAGGGAGTGAGGCCCTGGGTTCGGTTCTCGTTACCACACACCCTCACCCACACACAAAAGCATCAGATGACTGGGTGTGGTGGCATATGCCTGGGCATATGCCCAGTGGCTCAGGAGGCTGAGGCAGGAGGATCATGAATTCAAAGCCAGCCTTAACATAGTGATGCCCTTGGCAATTTAAGGAGACCCTGTCTCAAAATTAAAAAATAACAAAAGGGCTGGGGATGTGGCTCAGTGGTAAAGCACTCCTGAGTCAATTCTTGATACCAAACGAAACAAAATAAAAGCGTCAGATGTACTACTGAGCAAATAGATAATTTCCATGAGCATGTTATTTTGTCCTCCCACTCCCAAAAGTTATATGTTGAAGCCCTAACCTCTAATGTGACTGTGTCTGGAAACAGGGACTTTAAAGGTGGGCCGTAATCTAATGTGACTAGAGAAAAGGAAATCAGGACACATACAGGTACAGAGGAAAGACCACGAGCAGACATAACAAGGAGGTAGCCATTTGCAAGCCAGGAAGAAAGGCCTTTGAAGAAAACAGATCTGTTGACGCCTTGATCTTGGACTTCAGCCTCTAGAACTGTGAAAAAAAAATTTCTCTAAGTCACCCAGTTTGTAGAATTTTGTTATGGCAGTTTTAGCAGACTAAGAAATCATTCTATAGGTTGGTTTAAATGTGGAGTATCCCGAACAAGGTACATGGAAAGTCAGATGGTCTGCCCTGGAAAACTTCTAGATGATTTGGTGGCCCTCCTGATGAGGAAGAAGACGGTGGCAAAGATGTTTGTGAAGAATTTGACTGAAATTATTTCATAAAATAAGAGTAGAAAAAGCAGTGTTTTAAAAATAATATTGTTAAATATCAAATGTTAACTTTTTTTTCCTGGTGCTGGGGATGGGAACCGAGAACCTAGGGCCTTGCTTATTGTAAGTAGGCATACTACCACTGAGCTACACTTCTAGCCCCCAAAGTTAACATTTAACAATTTCATCTAGATTTAAGTTTACCATTTGAGTTTGCCAAAAATCTTCTGATGAACTTTTATTGAGGGGAATAGAGATTTTCTTATAATTAGGATATGTGCAAATAGATTTTTTTTTCAAGTTAGAATGAAGTATAGGCCTACGGGGAAAAAAAAAATAACCATGATGCTATTTAGTGTCAATCGGTCAAATTAATTTGGAAATGAAAATGACAAAGGAAAGAATCACTTTATTGAAGTGAGTTTCAAATACGACAAGTGTTGTTTGGGTGGTTTTGGTTGGAGTTGATCTATACAGTTTATAGATACATAGCATAAAGAATGCCTTTTGAATAAAACATAAAATGAACCCTCTCCTTTATCCTATGTCCTGACATGAGTTGCTACTGGGTGTCCTTCTGCCGGGTACAGAGGCTGCCTAACCTAAAATCTAAGTGACAATTGTTTTGTGGTTCTTAGAAAATGCTGGTATCCTAGCTGGGCATGGTGGTACACACCATAATCCCAACTACTCAGGAGGCTGAGGCAGGAGGATCACAAGTTTGAGTCCATCCTGGGCAAATCAGTGAGACTCTGTACCAAAATAAAAATTTTAAAGGCTGGGATATAGCTCAGTGGTAGAACACCCCTGGGTTCAATCCCTAGGACGAAAAACAAAAAAAGAAAATGCTGGTATTCACTGAGTGTAAGTGCAGACATCCAGGGATGTCTTCCCACTTCTTTTGATTTTTGGTGTTCTTTTCTCTTTAAGAAACCAGGTGAGTACTTCTCATTCTCATGAGTTATATGTAGTCCTGAATTTTGCATTTTCTTTAAATGCTGTTTATTTAGTCTCTTCCCAAGTTCCTCAGTGAAGATACCATGTTACTGAGAAAGGACTTCGTTTTGACTGAAAACCTGCCCCAAGGCTTGAAACAATGATTATGTAAAGGGAATAATTAAATACAAGGGAACATTTAAATACAAGTTTTCTAGCCTAGTTATCTCTATGACAAAATAGACAAAAGGCATGCATACATCCTCATCTTCAAAATTTTCCTATCAGAGATGTTTCCACCAGAAGCTATTAAGCTATTGCTCCAATCTAAAGAGCTTGTGAAGAGGCAAAGTCTTATGAACTGCAACTTATAAATAAACTGAACATTGAATATTATTGCCTTTTATTAAATACAAGGAGATGCATAAGAAATAGGTAATAGACTATAAACTGAAGCATGAGTTTCTGTTGAAGTAGGGATTTAGGTGCATGTGGGTTCCATGCAAGTGAACTGTGTTTTCCAATTCCAACTAGCCCAAAGAATATAATGACATTCATTCCAAGGAAAGCATTCATGTGAACAAGCATCTGGGATCTAAACGAGGTTGAACTACAGTGTCCACCACACTGATACTGTGCTTTTCAGGGAGACCAGGGTAACAGATAACATCAGTTGCTATAGCACCTAATATGATGCTTTGTATACAATAGATGCTTAATAAATGCAAAAACTGTCTTGCCAATGAAATTTTGGAAAGCTGTAGAAGGGATAGTGAAGATGGTACTGGGAATTTTTTTAAAAAACCAAAATCTTAAATCTTTTTCATCATACAGGTATTTCTGTAGTACATACCATGAAAAAAAATTTTGAAATTTATAGAATTACAGGCATCTATGAGAAAATAGACCAGTATATTAAATTGAATAAAATATATGCTGCTGGAAAAATGATCCTGGAATATTTATCAATAGCATGGGTGTTGATCTTCATGCTCACGTAGCTGCTTCTTGGACTTTTCCTCTGGGGAGAGCTCCTCTCTGAGGCCAGGGTCAGCTGCACCATCATCCTGTCGGGCTTCTCTCCATTCTCTGGCATGTAGTTGCCCAGGTCGTTCACTTCGCCATCACTGTAGCTGCTATCCAGCATCACAGCCCGCGACTGCGGTAACCCACAGGCGCAGGGGAGCTGCAAATACAGCAAACGTTCACTGGCTTTTGAGCTCAGTGTCATCGCTCAGAAGGAAGCCCTACCAATGCAACTGCATGATGATGTTGCATTTCTCCAGTTTCTTTTATTCCCAGTTTGGGGGAAAGGTGGGAAAACAACAGTGTTTTTACTATCAACAGCCTAAAAGAGCAAGTATTCATTTTTGTTGAATCAAAGTCTACAAATTGACACTTAGAAAACAGTGCTGTGTCATGCAACAGACTATCAAGAAGGTTCACGATTAGAAAAATCACCCTGTTCTCTGTGAGAGTATAAACATACTGAGCCTGTGGTTAAAAATGTTTACAAAATCACATTATTATGTGCGTGTGCATGCACGTGAGTGGTGGAGGTAGGAATTGGAAAGATGTGGCAAATAGGTTGTGGAAATAGGTTAGTACTGTGTGGTAAGATTTTTCTGGAGGAGATAACTATCAATTTGCAAACTGGTTGAAGAAAGGAAAGCCAGACTGGGAAGAAAGATAACCTGGGAAGGGGTATGGGACATGTATGAGGTCATATGTAAAGGAAAATTTCCCAGAATGGAGGAGCTTCATCCCTGGTGTGTTCTTTTATTCCTCCTCTGCGTTCATAATTTGTTCCACGGTGTTAAATTGCCATTTATTTTTCTCCTGGAATTCTCTCATTAAACTCTGAGCAGCAGCAAGATTAAAGAAACCATCCTTAGTTAAGTTGGCTTAGTGGCTCCTGGTATATGGTAGCTGCTAAAGAAAAGTTTCAGTGAATGAAAGATGTAGTGGAGTAAATGTTACACTGTTATGATACACATCAATTTGATTGTTCTTTACTATGACCTTGAGAAGGAGGATGGGGGAAGGGGTATCACAACCCCATTTTACAAAGAAAGTCTGACTTACCCACAGTCCCACAGCCAGACCAGGCTCCACCCTGACCCAGCCCCATTATGTACACGGGAAAGTCACCTTCTCTCGTAGCTTCAATTTCCGTTCCTTCCTCTCCTGCACCGTGGTCAGGTAGTTGACCGCTGCGTACTCCAGCACCGAGAGAAACACGAACACAAAGCTGACCCAGAGGTAGATGTCCACCGCCTTGATGTAAGACACTCGGGGCATGGAGGCGTTCACGCCCGTGATGATGGTGGACATGGTCAGCACCGTCGTGATGCCTGTAGCAGACATTGACAATGAAGCACCCGGCTCATCTTCCACCAAATACTAGATGGCTCTGTGCCTTTGCTTCTTTGTCCCTACTGCTCCCTCAGCCTACAAGGTCTCCATCCAGACCCTCTGTCTAGCAAACACCTACTCATCTTTCAAGATTTAGCTTTTATGAAAGTTTTCCTTTCACTCATCCCCACCTTTTCCCTCCTCTGTGTACCTTACAGGTTCAACATAGCCTGGGATCACTTTATCCTTTTGCAAAGAATCCCAGACATTTTGGCATTGAGACATTTGTTTCAATTCAATTATTAAAAAGAAATCGCCTACTTAAGCAGGTATGTACATATGCTTCTTGTAAGTACTGCTCAATCTAGGCAATGAAAGTGCATGGGATTCATTTTAATATTTTTGTCCTTGCTGCTATGGTAGAAACCTATGGTCCTGAACCTGCCTTATCAGCTATTAGGCATCTCTGGCAGCCCCTTTTACACTGGACCTGGCTGCCCACTTGAGAATCTAGAAGTCAATATTATGAAGTATGATGTTGTTAACTTCATTTATAGGAGACACATTTAAAAGCTGGAATGTATATTTGTTTAACACAATAACAGTTTTAGCTACCTAACAACCATTAGAGGACAGGGCATCTGTCTGTGGAAATTTGCCCAGGATTTCAAATTAAGCTCAGAACATTTGCTTGGCAAACATCAAATCACAGGGGATTGGGGTCATCCTAGAGGCCAGCTCCAATCCATTTTCACTAAAACCTGGTGGGTCACACTGTCCCTTGCAGCCCCTGCACTGTCTGCACAGTGGTGGTGTGTGTGTGGTTAAATGGGTCCAGTATTTACTTGTCATCCATGGAATGCTTATGGAGGGGGGTTTCTAGGCTGGAGAAAATATAAGCTGGGATAGCTCCTTAAAAATGCAGGTTCCTTATCCTTGTTCAGAGAGTCAGAGTCTTTCAATAAGATAGCATTCAAAAGTTCATTTTAAACCACTTCCCTCAGAGATTCTGTCACAAAGATCCCTTAGGCCATCTTCTGAAAAAAAAACTTCTTGCTATGTAGAGTCTTAATTATCAAACTTTGCCTGTGAATTAATACCTTGAAGTATTTTCAAGCTCCCAAAGGAGTATAGGACCAATTTGAAAAGAATGATTTTATTTGGAATAACTTGAATTTTCAGATACTTGAAATATGCATTTGAGATGTTCCTTACCTAAGGGGACTCTGGCAGGCACTGCTCTACGGTCAATCCAGAAGGACACCCAGGACAGCATGACCATCAGGGTGGCAGGGAAATAGGTTTGGAGCAAGAAAAAGAAGATGTGACGACGCAAAGTGAAATTAATGTATAGACGATTGTACCAGCCTGAGAGACATAAGGAAGAAAAGAGCACATGTCATAGCTACTCGGCAACATCAAAAAAGAATTTTTTTTTTGGTAGCTGTGTTCCTTTTTATTCCTTTTCTAAAATTGGTGCATTATAATTATATATAATAGTGAGATTCATTTTTATGTATTTGTACATGCATACATGTAACAATATAATTTGGACTATTTCATTCCCCAGTACCTCCCCCTTCCCTTCTGCCTGCCATTTCTTCTACTGGTCTCCCTTCTTTCATGAGATTCCCCACACCTATACATATACCCCTTCCTTTTTTTCTTACTAGCTTCTACATGTCAGAAAAACATACTTGATTTTCCGAGTTTTGCTTATTTTGCTTAACATAATGGTCTCAAGTTCCATCCATTTTTCCTGCAAATGATATAATTTCATTCTTCTTTATGATTGAATAAAGCTCCATTGTATATACATACTGGGTTTTCTTCATCCATTCATTCACTGACAGATACCTAGGCTAGTTCTGTAATTTGGCCTTATGCTGCTAAAGATGTTGAACATTTGTTTTCATATATTTGACCATTTGTATTTCTTCTTTTGGGAAGTGTCTACTTAATTAATTTGCCCATTTACTGATTGGGTTATGTATGTATTGCTATAACATGCTGACTTTATCTTTTGTTTTAGAATATTTTAATCACATAAAACAAGATATATTTCATATAGCTATTACTCCCCAATCTCTAATCCCATTAAACATTTCAGGTCAGAGAAACTGCCAAATTGTTTTTCAAAGAGGCTGCACAATTTTATATACTAACCAGCAGTGTGAGGGCTCAAGGTTCCCACATCCTCACCATCATTTCTTATCTGTTGTTTTGACTATAATTATCCTCCTAGGAGTTAAGCAGTATATCTTGGAGACTTTGATTTGCATTTCCCTGGTGATTAATGATGTTGAACATCTTTTCACATCCTTATTGTCAATTTGTACATTTTCTCTGGAGAGATAGCTGCTAATATCCTTTGATAAAAAATTTTCCCACATTTTTATTAGTGCATTATAGTTGTTCATAATGGTGGGATTTGTTGTTACATATTCATAGATGCACATAATTTAACAACATGATTTGGCCAAAGTCATTCTCTAGTATTTCCCCATTCCCTCCTTTTCTCCTTCCTTCTCCCTTTATTCTATTGATCCTAGCCCTCCCACCTTTCTTTTCTTTTTTCTTCTCTAGCTTTCACATATGAGAGAAAACATACAACCCCTAACTTTCTGAGTTTGACTTATTTTGCTTAACATAATGGTCTCTAGTTCCATCCATTTTCCTGCAAATGACATAATTTCACTTTTCCTTATGATTGAATAAAACTTCATTGTGTATATATACCATGTTTTCTTTATCCATTCATTCACTGATGGACATCTAGGCTGGTTCTATAGTTTGGCTATTGTGAATCGTGCTGCTATAAACATGGGTATGCATGTTACTATAGTATGATAACTTTAATTCTTTAGAATAAATACCAAGGAGTGCTATAGCTGGGTCATATGGTGGTTCCATTCCTAGTATGTTGATAAACCTCCATACTGATATATGTAGTGGTCGCACTAATTTATAATCCTACCAACAGTGTAAAAGTATTCCTTTTTTTCCACATACTTTCCAACATTTATTATTGTTTGTATTCTTGATGGCTGCCATTCTAACTGGAGATGTAGTTTTGATTTGCATTTCCATCGTTGCTAATGATGTTGAAGAATTTTTCATGGATTTGTTGGCCATTTGCACTTTTTCTTTAGAGAAGTGTCTATCTAGTTATTTGCTCATTTATTAATTGGGTTATTTGGGCTTTTGGTGGTAATTTTTTTTGAGTTTTTTTATATACTCTGGATATTAATCCTCTGTCCAAAGATTAGCTAGCAAAGATTTTCTCCCACTTTGAGGTTCTCTCTTCACATTCTGAATTGTTTCCTTTGCTGTGCAGAAGCTTTTTAATTTGATGCCATCCCATTTATTAATTCTCAGTATTCATAAAATAAATTTTATTCAGGGAATCATAAATGACTTTGGTATTCCTCTGGAACCCTATCATCCCTTTACAAGGTGGAAGTACACAAAATCAAGGAACAGAGGATTATGTAGTGATTCATATCATCTGAATCCATCTCAAGGAATCTTTGGACTTCATCCTAAATGCAAAGAGGACTTCTTAAGAAGGTCATATAAAGGCTGGGGTTGTGGCTCAGTAGTACAGTGCTTTCCTAGCACATGTGATGCACTGGGCTTGATTCTCAGCACCACATAAAAAAAAATAAAGACATTGTGTCTATCTACAAGTAAAGATATTTTTTTTTTTAAAAAAGAAGCTCACATATAAGCTTTTCTTACTCAAAATATGGTATAGGGCCCAGCAGCAGCAGCAGCCTCACCATCAACTGGGAGCTTGTTAGAAATTCAGACTCTTAAACCACAGCCCAGATCTACTAAAGCAGAATCTCTACTTAACCACATTCCCTGCACGATTCACATGCATTACGAATATTTGAGAAACACTGATTTAAATAACCCCCTTTGCATTTCTTTATGAGGAAATGTGTTTTAAGATAAGATAAAGCTAAACACAATATTGTATTTAGGCACAGAGTGCACAATCCTTGGTCCAGCTATGCTTTACTTTGCTTTTGTGTTCTTTACAAGGAGGGGGCACACCTGTTCAGACGTTGGACTCCAAAAACAATGACTAGGCCCAAAGGGGAATGACCAGAGGTTCCTGAACTGCAGTTCAGAAGAAGATCATCCAGAAGAACCATGTAAGCCATGTAGCAAGAGGTGATTGGCCAAGAGTGGAGCATCACATGGGACTGACTAGAGCAGGGAGAATGTGAATGGAAATCAGGACAAAGTGAACTTCTTTCTTGCTGTACAGAAGAATTCTGGTGAGTATATTGGGGGTGATATGCCATCTACTAATCTGGCAATGTGCAAGTCTCAAATAAAACTGCTTACATGTTTGAGTCCTTAATAGTATTTTCTAGGTTATCACTTTTGGTGCATTGGTGGTATTAAAAAAAAAAATCACCTCCATCCAATGCCTGAAACCCACGAAACTTCACTTAGGACTGTCGTCTTTAGTTTCAAATGCAAGTGAAACAGGCTTTGCTTACTTGACAAGCAAGTCACACCTTTTCTGAAATAAAAAATGAACCACCACAGGCAAACCAAAGCCTCCCCACACTCAGCCCCCACCCCATGCTCACCTGTGCTGCTGTAGAAGGCTAGTTTAGTGGTGGTGTGGAATTCTTGAATGAGGAACTGGGAGAGTGAGATCCGCTCATCTGTCTTTAAAGAGTCATTGCCCTTTTTCCAGTAGAGCATGAGGTCATCTTCTGTATAGGCATCTGAAAAGATGGGAGCCAGCATCAGGCAGGAGGTATGGCAAGGCAGATCTGCCTACCAGGCTACATGGAAACTGTGTCCTGATCTCCCATACAAATCTCTGGGATTGTGCTAAGATGGTTTGAATAAACAAATTGCAGTATAAACAACACACACAAAAAAGCAAAAAGACAAATATAATTCTCTCCAGTCTTCCAAAAGTCTTCAGAGAAAAATACTCAAACTTAAAGCCTCCTGATTCCTGCAGAAGGGCTCACACCAACAATCCAGCCTACCCTTATAAGATTAAACCAAATCAGATTGCTATATTGTGGTCAGAAATGGCTAAATACTGGCGTATTTTCACATGGTTCAGCCTTATAAACCAGGAGTGCTGATCCTTTCCTTCTTATCCTTATTTTTTTGGGGGTGGCGGGTACTGGGTACTGAATCCAAGGATGCTTTTTTGTTGATGCTTTATTTCATTCTCAATCTTTTTTATTTTTTGTTTTGAGGCAGGGCACACTAAATTGCTAAGGCTGGCCTTGAACTTGAGATCCTCCTGCTTTAGCCTCCAGGTGTCTGCCACTGCGCCCAGCCCTATGTGTAAACCATTCTTACTGGGTCTCCCAACACCATTTTAGTCCCACTTTCTAACCCTTGATCTGTGATCATAGATTTCTTGTGTTCGCTTAGCTTGACTCTAGTAAACAGTCATTCAATCAGACACTAATCTGTGAAGGTATTTTATGGATGTGGCTAGTATCTACAACCAGTGGATTTTAAGTAAAGAAGATTATCCTGGATAATCTGGGTGGGTCTGATCTAGTTATGTGAAAGGCATTAAGAGTATAGCTGAGGTTTTCTGGAAGAAGAACTTTGACCTGAACTGTGGCATCTGCTCCTGCTAAGAGTTCCCAACTTTCCCTGCAGACCTGGGAGAACAGAGCAGCCCCTATAATCCTGCGAGCCAATTCCTCACAATGCATCTCTTACCATATGTAATGGATTGGTTCTGTTTCTCTGGCAGGACCCTGACTGCTACAACCTTGAAGAAGCTACATTTACAGATGGAGGCAGAAGCTGCCTAGTATAGTGAGGGTAGGGGAAGCTCTGGAGCCAGCAAACTTGGTATTTCAGCCCAGCTTTGCCATTCATCTCTGTGTCCAAGGCGCAGGCCTTGTGCCGTGAATGATGGAGATAACATTCTTGTAGGGATTTTGTGAGGGTTGAATGACAGCACAGAGATAAAGACACTGTGCACTTAGTAGCCACTAAAGGCTACTAAGGCCTCGCCCTTTTCCCACATTCAGTGCCTAACAGAGGGTCCATTTGTCCCAGCTATGTGTGGTGTCAACATCCCCACACTCCCAGGTTTCAGTTAATTACAGTCAGGAGCCACTTGATCCACCACCGTAAGCCCAGATTTGGCTTACAAAGGGGCCCAAGATCAAAGAGAGGCCACACTAGAACTTGGATGCTGCAGGAATTGCCAGTGTTCAGGAGGAGTGTGCAAACTGGAGTGATGGAAGAATCCAGACTATGCCCATCAGAAGGAGTGCTTTGGCAGAGAGAACAGAGCAGGAGAGTGGACAGCGAGGCGTGGGGTGGCTAGCTTGGCTATCCTTCCTAAGCCTGGCTCTTCCTGGTGCCTGATTTGGGTGGTTGTTTTATTGTGGTAAAACAAGAATAACATAAAATCCTCTTAACCATTTTTAAGTGTACAGGTTAGTGACATTAAATATATTTATAACATTGTGAAATCATCACCACTAAAACAGTTTCTCATCTTAAACTGAAACACTGCACCCATTAAATAATAGCTCTTCGTTTTCTCTCTCCCCAAGATCCTCACAGTCACTATTCTACCTTCTGTCTTTATTATTTTGACTACTCTAAGTACTCATAAAAGTAGAATTGTACAGTATTTGTCTCTTTGTGATGGACTTGTCTTATTTAGTACGATATCCTCAAGTTCCGTCCATGTTGTAGCATGTGTCAGAATTTCCTTGCTTTGTAATGCTGAGTAATATTTCATTGTATGTACACAGCACATTTTCCTTGTCCATTCACCTATCACTGGACACATGGGTTGCTTCTACACTTTAGCTATTGTAAATAATACCTTTTCAAGGCTTTGCTTACATTTCTTTGGTATATGCTGAGAAGTAGAATTGCTGGAACCTATGGTTTTTGATATTTTAAGGAATTGCTGAATTGTTCTCCACAGTAAGCTGCACCATTTTACATTCCTATCCCCAGTGCACAAGGGTTCCAATTGCTTCACATCTTCACCAACACTTTTTGTTGTTGTTTTTTTGATAGTGACCATCCTAATGACTGCAAGTGGGTCACTCACTGTACTGATTTCCATTCTCTAATCATTAGCCATATTGAGCATCTTTTCATGTACTTCTTCTTTTAAAAATTTCTTTTTTAGTTGTAGTTGGACATGATACCTTTATTTTATCTATCTATCTATCTATCTATCTATCTATCTGGTGCTGAGGATCGAACCCAGGGCCTTGAACATGCTAGGCAAGTGCTCTACTGCTGAGCCATGACCCCAGCTTCTTCATGTGCTCCTTTGTAAAATTACTCTGGACTCAGCTTCAATCTAAAAAATCACTTTAAAAGCATAGCCATGAATGAGGAGCACATACTGTTCCTGCTACTCTTTAGAATTACTTTAGGAGCTGTGTGCCGATGCCTGGGAACAAGTCTACTCACAGCTTTCAATTTCAAGCGAGCACGTTTGTGTGTCCAGGGGAAATCGGCTGAAGTCCATGTTGCACATTGCAGTCACTGTAACCCTAGAAACAAAAAGACAAACATCCAGTTTTCAGAGCTTGCAAAAGACAAGTGCAAAATGACAAAGCAAACAGAAAAGGTCTCTGCTTCCTTGCAGTATGATAACTGCCTCTTTCTTATAATTCATAAGCAAAGTGTTGGGATTTAGATAAGAAGCTTATGAATGACACCTCTTTGGAAAACTCTTAGGTAGTTATGTCTAACCTTAGGAGCAGTGTGAGGCACACAGAATGTCTCTAACTGCTAGAACATTCAAGCATTTTAAAGAAGCAATGGTCTCAATCAACATAGCCATGTGAAATAAAAACTCATTCAATATGATCTCTTAAAACAAGCTTTAGGAGCAAATATTATTTCTCATGTTTTAGATAAATTCAAGTTCTTCTGTTCTTTTATTGATTGTATTGATGTTCAACATTGTTTACAATGTTATGAATACTTAACTCCAGTTGCCAAATTTGGCATTTTAAAAAATATACTGATATTTTTATATTGATAATAGTGTTTATAATTCTATGGCAATCATAGTGACAGAAAAACACTGAGAGATTTGTTATACTAATATGAACACATTAGCTGGCATTGAATGGTTCTGTTCCAGAGTTTACACAGCAAAATCGGCTTCTGCATCAAAGAACAAACAAATATAGGTCATTAGTCATAGATGAAAATCTCCTAGTCAGTGGGAAATTTCATGGCAGGATACAATACTGGTTGTTGGCTCATGCCGGATGTACCATTTTTCCTCCAACCATACAAAATCTGCTATGCATAAATTGTGGATACGATTTGGATAATATATAGCTAAAAAAAAGAAGTACATATACATTTGAAATTTAAATAGAAATTTCAAGGAAGAGTATTCAAGAAATGCAATTATCCAGATATTTGCCTTATTTCCACCCCACTCCTTTATATATGGAATGGCTGTGTTCTACAGGGTATTTGGGATCATGTGCAGCTAGGTAGTCTCATGACCCCTGGAAATTCTAATAAACAGGGTATATTAGAATATTGACGGGAGTGAGGATTCAGGCAGCAGTTGCCTGGGACACCTAATGGGTGGGCTTCCATTTCTGTGGTTACATCATCAGCATAACTATGCCTAATGGTATCACTAGTGAGGAGGAAATAGGAAGTTTGGGGATACTTGGAGCTAACTTTAAGAACTTAAAATATCAGATGCAGGATTTTTTTTTTTTTTTTGGTTATGAACAAGAGGACTGAATATCTCCTGTCTTTTTACTAGCCAGTACAGAAGCAGATCTTTTTAGAATCACAAACATCATCAGACTGGCCCCTCCTGCCTTGATGCTTTTCCATTCAAAACCTTACATCACACAAGCATTTGTGGTGTAATCAAAACCCATGTTTATCTTTGTTTCTCCAAGTCTTTTTAATTAGTTTATGGAAAAGGATCTTCCTTTGCCCTGGATGGAATGGGTAGAAACTTAGCAGGTTCTATTTTGTTTGTTTGTTTGTTCTCTGCTCAGTCTCACCTAATAGTCAAAACTCTTTTGGGTCACAAATTATGTCTCAATTCAGAAATAAAGCATTTTAGTCTGAGATCTTATTAATCAATGTTTCAAACTTCATTCAAATTAATATTTCTGCTCCTCAATGAAGATACAAGGCTGGCATTTGAGTGGTTGGTTTCTACCCATGTCTAGTGAGAGAAGAGCAAGAGGGCAGGACGGGTCTCAGGCTGGGTGGCTTCATGGCTCTAAGGACCTGCTATCTGGTGAAAGCTGATCCTTTCTTTTCTGAGACCCTCATCCCCACCTCCATGCAGTAGGTGTCCATGCTCCAGCAGTAGCTCCCCACCCCAGCATGTGGTTCACATTCCATCACACTTAACCATCTCAACAGTCCTAGGGTGCAGACTGACCCTACTGCCATGACAACTTCTGGCTCCAACCACAGGGTGGCTAGAAAGCTCCCTTCTCCCCACCCCCTTCAAACTGCACACTGTCCCCCAACTGTAGGCACATACACATGGAGCCCTTCAGGTAGTCCCAGTGAAGGGCCACTCTTGGCAGTCTACAACTCCCAGGAAAAGCTTACCAGTCTTTATATATATATATATATATATATATATATATATATATATATATATAGTAGCTGGACACAATACCTTTATTTTATTTATTTTTATGTAGCCCTGAGGATCAAACCCAGTGCCCCACACATGCTAGGCGAGTGCTCTACCACTGAGCCACAACCCCAGCCCCTCACCAGTCTCTTTTCCTCACACAATCATTGATTTTTTTATATCTTGAGTTCAAAACCCATGGAATTGCTTTTCAATATTTCCTTTGTAAAATCTACCTAGTGTGATAGAGCAACTCCTTTATGAATTTCCCTTTCTATTCTATCTTGGTGCCTAGGAAATCTTAGTTTTACCACCCTGATACCTATTGCCTGTCCCTCTGCCCACTGCACGGCAGCTACACAGTTTGTACTCTGATCATTTGGTTCCATGTCTGTCCTGTGGCCACTAGCCTTCAATCACACTAAGCACAGTGGCTTTCTACCATTCTCAGTAATTTAAGCCTAAATCTTGTTTTTTTCCATTTAAATCAAGAAAAACCCATGATTTTATTCGTAATGAGAAACCAAATACTCTGCTTTTAGGCACAGAGATGGAAAGAATATGTTTCTGCTGGTAAGGCCGATTGAGGTTTCCTGAACACACAGGAGGTTTTCCATTCTGTTTCCTTTGTTCTGCTTCCTGTGGTCACAACCAGCGGTGTGCTGGACTAGCCGTCTATAAGCTCTTGAGAGCTGATTGTTAGATTTTCAGAAAGTTTGTGAGCCATTTGTTAAACACAGCTATTAATAAAAATTAAAATTAAGTAAGTTACTGTTATAGTTTGAATATATGTGTACCTCTGAAATTCTTGTATTGGAATTTAAATACCAACATGATAGTTTTAAGAGGTGAGGCTGTTGGCAGTGGGTCAAAAGGCTTTGTCTGCATAGATATGATTAGTGCCCTTAAAGAAAGGAATTGAAAGGAGCTAGCCTTTTCTTGCCCATGTACTCTCCCACCATGTGAGTAGACAGCAAGAAGTCACTGTATGAGGAACAGGCCCTTACTAGGCACCCAATCTCCTGACCCTTGAACTTAGATTCCCAACTCCAGAACTATGAGAAAATAAATGTCTGTACTTTATAAATTACCTAAACTGAGGTATTTTGTCATGGTGGCACAAATAAACTAAGCCAGTTACACTAAAAACAAAAATAAAAAATATTCGAAACTCACTCCTACTTATGTTATTATATTTTACTATTATCTGTGCTCCTAAAGTTCTTTATGCCTGTGTATGTGTCTGTGTGGTGAAAATACTGCTGAGTGGTTTGCTGCCTGCTTGTGTCCCCAGCTCCCCATTCAGCAACAACAGGTTTGAAGCTTGAAATCAGCCATGATGGGAGTATTTGCAGAAATTGAGGCTTCATTTATTGTTTTGTTGTTTATTTAGACTGAAAAAGTAGATTAAACTAAAAGTGTTTTGTGTCCAATGCTGTTCATTTTTGAATAGTACAACATATTGAGGAAATATTCTTCCAACATTTGAAAACTATTATCTAGTTTAGCTAGGAGGTTGCTTATTTATTGATGAGTGAGTAAAGTTCCTGCTTAGTTCTCATAGTTTCACTTTGTCTCACTAATGTAGCAAAAATATCACCAACATTCATCAAATCTACACTAATTTGACAGTCATATAAGGGAGCAGGTATTTACAAACACTTATTCATTATCTGATTCTGTAGAATGATTATTGGTGGTTGAATTATAAAAAACTGATGAAAGTTTTAACAAGAAAAAAAATAAGAAATAATGCTCAAGTTATATGTACACGAAACTTACAAAAATAGTATAAAGTTTTATTTAATTTTATAAGTCATGTGCTATACATACTTTCTAACAATAATGTTCATAATAAACGTACATAATGCATGTCTGCATACTATGTCTCCAGACAAGTAGTCATTTGCACACCAATGATAGGTTGTATGTGATTTGGTCTAGTTTTCTGCAGCCCTGGTGGTATTGTGAAATTGTATTTTTGGTGGATTTTGAACCTTAAGATACCTTCACAACCCTTCAAAAATGAATATTGCAAGGAGAACCTGAGCAGCATGGCTTGAGAAAGAGTTGTCTGTCCTTGATCCCTCAAGTACTTCCTATAAGAGATGGCATTTTTTTTTAAAGAGAGAGTGAGAGAGAGAGAGAGGGAGAGAGAGAGAGAATTTTTAATATTTATTTTTCAGTTTTTTGGGGGACACAACATCTTTGTATGTGGTGCTGAGGATCGAACCCGGGCCGCACGCATGCCAGGCGAGCACGCTACTGCTTGAGCTACATCCCCAGCCCCCAAGAGATGGCATTTTAAGCTTTGGAGATGAAAATTCCATAACCCCACTCTCAGTTTGGAACCTAATTGCTTAGATTCCAAATCAAGATGAGTATTACAAATATTGCTTTTGAACATGGGGCAGAAATTTAGCGTTGACATTTCTGGCTCTAACCTGTTGTCACTTAATGGGGAGCTGGGGAGAAAAGTGCTCCACTCTGCAGAGTGTGCTGGGCATGCCTGTAATCCCCACTACTCAGGAGGCTGAGGCAGGGGGATGGCAAGTTTGAGGCCAGCTTCAGTAATTTAGTGAGAAACTGTCTCAAAATTTAAATAAATAAATAAATAAATAAATAAATAAAGGGCTGGGGATATAGCTCATGGTAGAATGCCCCTCTACCAACCTGTAAACTTGTGTGTGTGTGTGTGTTTCTTAGATAATAGAATGTGGATTCATCTTTACCATTAATCAACATGTGAACCAAAGCCAAGTTCGCAAACTTGAACTGTACCATCTGCAGAGTAAATTACCGAGAAGTCAACCACAGCCAGTAACCATGTCCCTCTCCATGTCCACCTCCCGGGGAGGTGAGCACCAGGACAGAAGCGGAGGCTGTGTGCTGTGTTTAGGAAAACCTTCCACAGGTTAGTGCTCCATGAGCAATTAAAAACTTCTAAGGATAAAAAAATAAAATAAAAACTTCTAAGGCATTTGAGCTCATGAGAAGAAAAAATTTTATTCATTAATTTGTAAAAGTTGTAAAAGTGATATATTCAAAATGTCATTGAATGTCACAAAGTAGCCCAGAAACCCATAGTTTTTCAAAACAGAAAATATGCTTGTGGCCTGCAGGTGGAACAAAAGAATTTCATTTTTTTTTTAAAACGAGGTTCTAAAATTTACCCCCCAATGGGAATCAAGCAGATCAGAGGAGGCAAGCCTTGGAGAACACATTATCTATTTCTCTGACTCCCACTTGAGGAGTAAGCATTTCATTAAAGTAAACTTTTTTGTTTTTTCTTTTTTTGCAGTGCTGGGGATTGAACAAGGCCATGTATGCGAGGCAAGCACTCTACCAACTGAGCTATAGTCCCAGCCACCTCAAGTAAACTTTTGAAACTTAAAATATAACATTCAGGATGCAGCATAAGCCACAACTGACCAGCTTGAGAAATTTCCCCAAATGTATGTTCAAAATTCCATAAAATTTTTACTCATGTGTCAAGTTAGTTTTCCTTGATGTTGATAAGTTTGGCAGCTATGGAAAAGTTAGAAGTTATTCAGAGCCCAAAAGCAAAATTACTGATGTACAACTCATGCGTGTTTAGTGAGCCACCTGGTTTCCTACCTGAGGCTGTAGAGCACCTTGCCATCCGGCTGGACCCGCAGCATGACGTTGTCTGTGGTGGTATCGTGGATGAAGGAGCGCTTGGAGTGCACGAAAAACATATCCGGGACCCAGATCTTCTTCACCAGCCGGCCGTCAAATGTCATGCTGAGGTTATTGGTGCTGGGAAAAGACAGCCTCTCATCCTTCCAGTAGTGCCTCAGGTAGAGGGTCATTGTAAAGTCCTTCGGGCAAAGAGAAGAGAGAAAATCCAGACACACATCCACCTGCTGGAATGTCAGCAGGAGATTCTGTACCCCTGGGGAGCAGTCACCTTGCTGGGGAATGAAACTGAGCCAGGAGAGGTCTTGCTTTTGCTACAGCAGGAGGACACTTTCAGGGAGAGGGAGCCCAGCAAGAGACCTGTGGCAGACAGTGTCCCCGAGTCCCACCCTGTCTCCAGCATTTACATCTGTGCTGGGGAGGCTGCTTCACCAACTTATGAGTTAAACAGAAACGTGGCCTGAGAGTTGGTGCCTTTGGGCTTCCCTCAACCAGAGAGGAGGGTGGTGGGTAAATGGTCCAGCTCTCTCACCCTTTGGATGGGACAACCCTGGGCCTTTTCTGATTCCTGAAGAACTAGAGTGGGACTGAGTCCTCCAGGAATGACTGGTTTGAGAGCACAGTCCTTTTTGCACCCTTCTCCTTCCCTGTCTCACTTCCCCATTGTGTTCCGGTGTTTCCCAGGATCACCTCCCCAATAAATTTATGCTAGAATGCTTGATTCTGATTTTTTTTTTTTTTTTTGATACCAGGGATTGAACCCAGGGACATTTTGTTTTTGTTTTTGTTTTTTTTTTTTTTTGATACCAGGGATTGAACCCAGGGACATTTAACTCCTCATCCCATTTTTTTTTTGTATTTTATTTGGAGACAAGGTCCCATTGAGTTGCTTAGGGCCTCACTAAGTTGCTGAGGCTGGCTTTGAACTCACGATCCTCCTGCCTCAGACTTCTGAGCTACTGGAATTACAGGTGTGCATCATCACGCCCAGCTCAGATGTGCTTCTTGAGGGACCCAAACTAAGATAACTTTAAAAGTTCTGTAAGTGTCATAGAATGTTCTAATATTTTATCAGAACCCACCAATAAATAAGTTAATTAATTCAAATTAAATGAAATGGAAGGGCACTCTTTTGCTGCTTCTGCATTTCTGTAGCCAGGCGTAGAATCTGCAGGAGTAAGATGTGTTGGGCTACTTGGCAGCTGCAACCTTAGACCCTGCAGTTTATATTTGACAGCCTTTGCCCAGAGAATGCATTCTGGCCTCAAGAGGCTATGTAATAAAGGGAGAAAGATCAAGTTTGTCATAACAATGGGGTAGCCTTGGGCAAATGTCACAACCTTCCTGATCCCTCAGTAAAGTCAGCTTGGGAATGTCCACTTCCCAGGAATGCCCACCTCCCAAGGAAGCTGTGAATTCAGGTCCCCTGTGAATGTCCTTGATCATATTCCTGGTCGGAGAAGCACTTACCATGTCGACCTCTGAGATACTGTCCAAGCTCTCCACCTGCACATCCACGCCAACAGGAATGGCTGGGCCTGGGGACAGGGCATAACAAGAGCATTTATTCTTTTAACTTAAACTTTTACTATGCAACAGTTAAGCAAAAGAAATATTTTCCCTGGATCTTCAGAGTCAAGTCAGATTGGAAGGTCTGGTTGTGCCAACCTGAAGTCCAACCTGAGATAAAAGGAAGAAATCGTGGGCTGGTTCCCCATGATATTCCAGAAGGAAAAAAAAATGTGGGGGGTTGGGTCTGAATCATTCAGGTGATTCTGAAATGAGGAGGTTAACCTATAGAATTTTTCTTTGGTACATGCTCATCCAAAGCTATGATGAAGACCCAGGTCAAAGGCTGGGTCAAATCTGAGGAGTAAGTGATTTACTCCTTAGCATGAGGCCACCCACTTTATTTTCTATATGCACTTCCTAATTTTGCATCATCATAGAAGCTGGTAGTTCTTGTCTGACCACAAGAAAGGCATAACCTGGAAATAATTCCCAGAACTGAAGTAATTTTCAGATCACTTATTTGTCAGATCCACAGATCTGCATCTTGGCTACATGGAGTAGCTTTTAGGGGAACATGATATACCAGGATGGCCTTTGAAACATTAGACTTGTTATCATTTCTGAGCCATGAAAACTTAATATTGATCAAGAAAGCATAACAAAGAGGATAGGTGGGCTGGGGTTGTGGCTCAGCGCTTGCCTAGCATCATGAAGCACTGAGTTTGATTCTTAGCACCACGTACAAATAAATAAAAAGTCTGTCAACAAAGAAGTGTGTCACATTAGATTGGGTAGAGAGAAGTGATGGGAGGGGAGGGGAGAGAGAGGGGGAAAGGAAGGACAGCAGAATAAAATAGACATTATTATTGCTGTGTGTATATACGTGACTGCATGACCAATGTGATTCTGCAACCCGTACGCTCAGAAAAATGAGAAATTATATCCCATCTGATTCAAATGTATGATATGTCAAGATCACTGTACTGTCATGTGTAACTAATTAAAACAAATAAAAAAATTATTAAAAAAAATAAATAAATTATACCATGACAGTAAGTATTAAAAAAAAAGTTCATCAACAACAACAACAAAAATTTTCTTTTTTTTTTAAAAAAAGGGGGATAGATTTCTACCTCCTTCCTCTCTGCAGGATGTGGGTCAAGCAGAGAGCCCACTAAAATCATCACAGAGTAAAAAGGTAGACTTGAGTCCAGGAAGGTTATAGAGATTATGGAAAAGGTAGATTGTGGAGTGAATAGAGATATCTTTCTAGAACCTGCAGAAGAAATAAAAGGAATAAAAATAATTTCTTTTTTTTTTAAAAAAAAAGCTTTTTTCCAGGAGAAAAGCCTATTTGTCAAAGAGGAAAACTCTATTTGTCGATAAAAGGGCTGAAACCGGCAGCTGCAGGCTAAGCTTCAAAGGGCTTTGGCATTCTTCTGCACTAAATCATTAATTTTTAAGCTATTTTCATGTAATTAAACCAAGTAGACCACACTCTTCCCTCAGATATGTACTCAGAGTTCATCTGCCAGCTCCCAGATGAGGACAAATTTAGTCAAGGTTGTTGGAATAAATCTCAGAGCATTTTCAGGAGGCAGCTTTGGGCTGCAGCTGCCCCCACCTTAAACAGCCAGCTGTTGGCCCCACTGATCCTGAGCCATCCTTTTCAGGAGCAGTGGCCCAAGGACAGCTGGCTGGTCTAGCCTGGCTACCCACTAGCAGGAGTTCCTGAGAAGGAATTCAGGAGAACCCCGGGTGGGGACGGTGAATGCTCAGAAGATGCTGTGAGCGTGGTGCTTTATGCCTATACAGCTGAGACCAACTCAATCAGAACCTGAGCAAAGACCCTAGGCTTGGTTTCCCAGATAGAAGGACCCTAGGAAATAAGACACCCCTTCAAGAGGGCTCATTTCATACCTCCAAAGCCAGGTCTCATGCTGAAATCGTGGTCATCTATCCTCAGCAGCTGCTCCGACTTTGTCAGAGGTGATTTGGTGATGTCAGGGCTGCGTTTCAGAATTGGGCTACTGAGGGGAAGAAATAGGTGGATCACATATCCTAACCAAGTCAGGTAAAAACTATTCATATTCTGACCATATTGACAGGTTTGATGGGATGTGTTATTTCTTCTTCTAGTCCTGGATGTCCCCTCTTCCATTCTCCAGCTTTTTGGGATAAATAAACTGACCCCGAAGGTCTAGGACAGTGGTTCTCCAAGGAGTCATGGTAAAGCTTGGGCCCTGCCTCAAAGATGCTGATTTGGATGATCTGGGAATAAAACCTTCTCAAGGCTGGAAGTATTGTTCTGTAGTAGAGCTGTGTTCAACCCCAGGCACCACATGCATGCTCTCTCTCTCTCTCTCTCTCTCTCTCTCTCTCTCTCTCTCTCTCTCTCTCACACACACACACACACACACACACATATATACACACACATATACACACACACACATGCTTCCCAGATGATTTTTATGTGTAAGCACGACTGAGAGCTGCTGTCCTGGTCTTATTAAGAAGCCTAAACTCCTCCCAAAGTACCCCAGTCTTCTTGGGGGAGGTTAAAGCCAGTGAGTGTGATTGAGCTTCATGTCCTTGACCTTTTGTTGGACAGTGCTGGGAGGGTGGACTCTCTTGAAAATTAACCACCCTTTATCCATGGCAGGCAGCTTCTGAATTACATCTAAATTTTTATTTATTGTCACTTTTTAAAAATAAGAAAGATAATTGCAGAGTTTTGCAATTAAAAAAAATGCAACGAAAAGTTGGTCCCTACCTTTTCCTCTACCCATCCCTTCCTACATCCACAGGTACTTCTCTTATTGGTTTCTTATATTCTTCTAGATATAAGTAAATAAATACAGATATATATTCTTGGTTCTCTCCCTGTTTTTTTTTTTTGGGGGGGGGACAAGGTTTTCACTAAGTTGCTTAGGTCCTTGCTAAATTGCTGAGACTGGCGTTGAACTTGCCATCCTCCTATCTCAGCTTCCTTAGCCACTGGAATCACAGGTGTGCACCACAGCGCCTATCAGCTTTCCCCTTCTTTATACGGTTTACATTATATAATCTCTTCTACACCTTGCTTTTCCCTTATTTAATATGTCTTGGATTTTTTCCATGCCAGAGTGCCCCAAGCTTCTTGTTCTTTTTACAGAGCATAACATTCCATAAACAGATGCACCGTAATCCATGTGACCAGTCCTCTACTGGCAGACACTGAGTTACCCCAGTTTTTGCTATTACAAGCAATGCAGCAGTGGCCTTCACTATTCTTCGTTTACTGGTCAACACCATCTTTAGAATCCTCAGAAACAATTAACCATCTTCCCAGCTCTGTCTTATGCTGTGTCCTCTCTAGGGGACCATCACACACACTTCCTTTCCATGGCATTTGCAGGTAAATGGATGCAGCTGGAGAATATAATGTTAAGTGAAGTTAGCCAATCCCCAAAAAACAAATGGTAAAATGTTTTCTCTGATATAAGGAGTCTGACTCATAGTGAGGTAGGGAGGAGGAGCATGGGAGGAATTGGCGAACTCTAGATAGGGAAGAGGGATGGGAGGGGAAGGGAGTGGGAAGGGGGTTAGCAAGGGTGGAGGAATGGATGGACATCATTATCCAAAGTACATGTATGAAGTCATGAATTGGTATGAACATACTTTATATACAAACAGAGCTATGAAAAATTGTTCTATATGTGTAATAAGAATTGTGATGCATTCCACTGTCATGTATTTAAAAAATAAAACCAATTAAAAAAAAAGAAATTGTCATGCTGCTGCTTTGCAGCCAATAAAAAACTTTATGTATGCTCTGGGGAAACACACACACACACACACACATAATTAACCGTCTTCCCAGCTCTGTCTAGGGGACCATCACACACACTTCCTTTCCCCAGTATAGACACGGGCATGAGTCAGCATCTCCTGGAGGGCCCCCTAAAACCTAGATTCTGGAACCTTCCCCATCCCCTGCAGTTTCTGATGCAGTAGGTCTGGGCTGAGGCCCAGGAATTGTATCTCTAACAAGGTCAGGGCTGCTGCTGGAGCTGCTGGTCAGGAGAGAGCAGCTGGAGAGCTCTGCCCTGGTGCCTGTTATTCTCAACCCGCGTGGGCTCCTCCCTGTGACTGGCTGGGTCCACCTTTCAGTCCCGTTATCCGGCTTCCCTTAAGAAACCTGCTAACATTGAGGAGAAAAAAAAAATTAAGGCTGGGAGTTAGAAAAAACAGGACTCTGTCCTCCATTTCCTAACCGCCTACTGGGTGCCTCTGGGGAGTCTGTTTGCCTGATTGATAAAATTTGGTTCCTGATTGATAAAAGGGACAGGTGAGAGGGTTGAATGGGATAAAGTGTGTGAAAGCTTTATTAAACTATAAAGCGACACACAGAGGCAAGGAGCCTTTGTTCCCATTGTAAGCTGAGGAGGGAGTGTCCCTTAAAATGAGGAAAGGACCGAGTTTGTAGCAGAATTGGCCCAGGAAAGAATCTGAGCAGGGAATCAGGACTGCGAGGGAGGAAGCTGGGAGCACAAAGGGAGGAAAGCCAGTCCCCTCTGTGGTGAGTCCACCCTCACCCCCCACCTCCTGGCCCCCTACATCCAGGAGCCACTGCCATTTCCTTTTGGGCTCCCCTTCTTCTGGTCCCACCCTCTGCTTCCAGGTCCTTGGGTGGCGGGTGGGGTGGGGCGGTTGAGGTGTGGGAAGAAACCTCTTTAGAAGGGTGAGTGTGCTTTTATGACCATACCTGCCTTGCTTGTGGACATCTTCATGTGCTTCCCGTCTCTGTCTTTGAGGCCGACTATGAAAATAAGAAATAAAGACATTCTAGAGACAGTCTGGGTACTCAAATCAACCAAGCCCCCCACACACTTCAGATTGCTTCAAATCTAACCAGAATCAAATATGGGGGAAAAAACTGAGATTCAAAGCACTAATTTAGGCTTTCAATAAGCTTCTTCCAAGTACCTACAGGGACTGAAAGATTAATTATTTTAAAGAAGTGATTAAAAAAAAAAAACCTGACTTAAAATCTCTCCCCCTCTAGTCTACCCAAGGCTGAAATTGATGCCATTCTTTCAAAGGGTTTTTCTTCTTCTTCTTCTTCTTTTTTTTTTTTTTTCATGATACCAGGAATTGAACCTATAGGCATTTAATCACTGAGCCACATCCCCAGCCATTTTTATTTTGAGACAGGGTCTTACTAAGTTGCTGAGTCTGGTTTTGAACTTGTGATCCTCTTTCCTTATTTAGATTGCACATTTTTTTAAATTTTTTATTGTTGGTTGTTCAAAACATTACATAGTTCTTGATATATCATATTTCACACTTTGATTCAAGTGGGTTATGAACTCCCATTTTTACCCCATATACAGATTGCAGAATCACATCAGTTACACATCCATTGATTTACATATTGCCATACTAGTGACTGTTGTGTTCTGCTGCCTTTCCTATCCTCTACTATCCCCCCTCCCCTCCCCTAGATTGCACATTTTAAATTGGATCCACCATAAATAAAACTTTGGAGAGTAATACATTGTCTGGTAAGCTGTTTTCCCTTGGTCCTTACCCTCTAGCTATGGTTTCTGTCAAATGACTATGGGAAGTGATGAAGAAGAAGGAGAGAGATCAGAGTATATGTTATCTCCTTTTTTTGATGCCAGGGACTAGCAATGCCTGCGTTGTTCTGCCTGGGGGTAGTCAAAGCTTCCTGCTCTTCCTAGTCCTTGGGAACAGGAGGATGCCTGATATTCCCTGAACCCCACCCATGTCTCTGTGAATAGTTCTTTAATTCCATTATTATTGTTTAAGCCCTTTTGAGTGCAATGCTGTTTTCTGCTAGGACTTCACTGATGCAATAGGGCACATTAGGATGGACGTGCAGGGATTATGTTATCTGTAGTAAAGTGGAGCAGAGGCAGGTGTGAGCTCTGCAGAAGGGCAAAAAGCTAAGATTGGAGGGCAATAGGCCAGGAAGGGCAGAATCCTCAGCACATCAAGCACCTTGGGCAGAGCTGGGCCCCAGTGGACTCACAGCACAGGTTAGTTGAATAAAGGAAGGCACCATCCCCTTTACATGGGCACCCGGAAAAAGAGCTAGGCAGGACTGAACACAGGGGTCACAACAGAAAACAAGCTTGGTCCAGTACTGACTCCGACTTTAGGCCAGCCTGCGGAACTGGACACTGCCCAAAAGGAGGTTTGTCACACTCTGAGATGCCACCAATGTTGCCTCCATGAAGCTCAGGGTCTAGCGTAGGGAAGATTGATAAACAGGACCCTTAAAGTCTTTTTATTGTTGATTAATATTTTTGAATACCCATCTAAGAAAAACTGGAAAGTAGGTTAAGCATAAAGAAGACGAAAGCAATTCAGAAATAATCTGTCATTCTATAAATATCTTTACAGTCCTCAGAGACAGATTGCACTGTAACTTGCTTTTAAACTCAAATTATAACATCATGAAATACTTCCTCATGTCATTGACATCTTTTTACTGGTTGTGGATATGATTATTAATGTTGAAAATAGTAGGAACACAACATAGTAGGAACAATGAACACTGCTGAGCACTTAGGACCTGCTAGGTACTATTGTGATTCATATGACATGTATTCAGCTCACATATTCCTCTCAACACTCTGTGAGGCAGGCCTTATCATTACCCCCAATTTAAATATGATAAAACTAAGACACAGAGGGCTTACATAACTTAAAATGATGGCACTAGGAGTCAGATACAGGGGGTCTGACTCCAAAGGTTGGAAGCAAAATTGGTCACAGTGTCTTTTTGAAAGATCTGCCTACCCACTGCCAGGAATTTGGGTCAAAGGTGAAGGTCTTTCTCTCATTCTCTCATGCAGAAGTTAGCATGGACCTTACAAAAAATTGGTGCCCAATAAGTATTCATTGAATGAGCCCTTATTTTCATTTTGGATAGAATAAAATTCCCACCTATGAAACTTGGTGTCTGCATGCTATAGTTTCTAGTCAGCTAGTGTGTATTTTTTCCTACAATAGGTCTCTAAAACTTCTCCCAGGTTGAATGGGTGGTGGTGGTGGTGGTGGTGGTGGCGGCAGGCAGGGGTGGGGGTGGGGGACCTTTGATGATGGAGGACTATGGAAGGCTCAGCCAGGGCACAGGAGTGCACCTGATAAATTGATGACATCATCTCTGAGAAGATAGGGAAATTAGTTTTCACAAGGAAGCAAAAATGAACTAGCAAAATCAGTCCTGCTTTCTTGGCATTCATCAAAACCAAGGAAAGAGATGCTTGTTTGTGGTCCAAATACTGGGATATGGTCCTGACTTCTCTCTCTCGCTACTTCCTCACTGTGGGAACAACTGGGCATGTGCTGCAGTCTGGCTGGGCACAATTCAGGAGCCACCTGTCAAAAGAAACTAACTTTATTTTTAGAACCACACACACCAAACAAAACAGCTCCTCAGGAAAAACCCTCAGAGCCCAACTGCCACCACCGGCTTCCCACAAGCCTCTCAACCTCCCCGACTCCTCCTGCTCTTGAGGCCCATTGGCTGGGTCGCGTGGGCGGAGCCAAAAAAGTCCCCCAATGAGCAGCTCCATAGTCTGAAAGGGCGGGGGAAACAGCCCAATGAGCATCACCGCAGAGGAGCCAATCAGCTAGATGTTGCTGGGGACGCTGAGAGCCAATCATCAGCTGGCAGTCTGAAAGTTTGCTGGGGCCCCTTCAGCTGTGGCTCTCAACAGGCATGTCCAGCTCTAGCTGCACTGTTTGGAGGTAGGTCTGCCTGTAGAGATAACCTTTTCTGATTTGCAAAAAGTCTTTGAATAGACCAGCTGGGCCCCTACCCACACCACCCAGCCCACCAATCCTGAACCTCTTCCAGATTTCTCTCCCTGCCCTGCTCCCACTGCCCTATGCATCATTTTTTTCTCACAAAGGAGGCAGCAGGCTTTCTTGCTTTTGCCTTGCCCTTCTCTAATCCAACCATCATATCAACACCACGTAATGAGAATCATAATCACACCTCTCCCCCTCTTAAAAACCTTCACCCTCAAAGTCAAATCCATAGACATTGGGCACGCACAGCCCATAATAAGTCTCTACCCTCTGCCTTGGCTCCCACTCTGGTCCAATTACTTACAGTTTGCAATTATGTCTCTACACTCTGCTCCGGATGTCCCAGGTGTCTGCAATGTCCCTCCCACCATTCTTCACCCCTTCCCTGCCCAAACAACTCCATGTGCTCCCAGGTAGAGTACTACTGCCTCTGGAGGCATTTCTGGGCGTTTCTCCTTCCCACTGAATTCTCTACAGGTTTCTGTTAGGATGTGTACCATCCTGTGTGGCAATGAGCTTTCTGACCACCTCATTCCACTGTGAGCTCAGTAAAGGAAAGCCTCTTCCTTATACAACTCGTAGGCCCTTAGCATTGTGCACAGCTTATTCTATGAAGACTTAACAGAATGCGGAAGGAGAAGCACAAACCCAAGGGTGTATTCTAGAGAGTTTAATGAACCTGTGAGGCCTCCTTGGTGCACAGGAGCAGACACACCTCCAAGCAGTGGAGCCGGGACTGGACATGCCCAATTGTTCCCATGGGTGAGGGTTAGAGACAAGAGGATTCAAGTTTAATATCTGAGCATTTGGACCACAAACAAGCATTTTTTTCCCTTGGTTATTACAAATGCCAATAAATCAGGATTATTTTTGCTAGCTAGTTCTTACTTCCTTGTCAAAATTGATGTCTCTATCTTCTCAGAAATGATGTCATCAGTAGGACTCAAAGACATGATAAAGTAAAGCAAAATTTTATAAAGTTGAGTTCTAGCTGGAAGAGTCTGTAGAAGGAAAAAAGCTGCTTGAAGAAGAAGGGGCCATGTTAGCAAAGGATTATAGTGAGGCTAAGGTTCTGCTATCAGAATCCTGCTTTACTTTGATATTCTCCCACAAAGAGAACAGCCTTCAAATTGGAAAAAGTGAAGAGAATTCATTGCTGCCCAGGAGAGTGAACATGACAGCATGAGATCAACCAACTCAATGATTCAGCCCTGCTTGTGCATCCGAGGAATCACTTAAGGAGTTAAAAACAAACAAACAAACAAACAATAAAAAAAAAAAACCCACACCATACCCCAGAGCAATTAAATCAGAATCTCTGAGCATGGGACCCAGTCATCAAGTCATCGAACCTCAGGTGGCTCTGATATTCTGACAACATTCAGAATTTCAAAATATGGAGTTCAAGTCTACAGACCCAGAGGAATGACATCTCAGGAAATTTAAGGATACTGCAGCAGAGAAAAACTGGAAGATGGGAGAGTGGCCAGACAACTAAAGATGGGGAAATGCTTTCTTGATATTCAAAAGGTGGAACAGGGTCCTGTGGAAACTGCTAAGGTTATGTTCCAGGTTGATTCCTGGCCATGTTCTAGAACTTTGGTTACAAAAGGACTTAGGAGCATTACTGCATTGGATCATGTACCAATAACATTAGATCAGTGTGAGTTCGATCAGAGCAAAACATCCTATACTGATCTCATGTCCCTGGGTGGGGCCTTCAGGTTAGCAGACCAGGGAGCATTGCTGGGTGCTATTCATAATGTGAGTAGGCCTCCTCTAATCAGTTGAAGAGAAAAAAAGACTGAGGATTTCAAAGAGGAGGAATTCTGCAAGCAGGTCCATGTTGCTTGCCAACTTGCCTTTGTACTTAAGACTGTAGCATCAACTCCTGCCAGAATTTCCAGGCTGCTAACTAGCCGGTCCTACAGATTCCAGACGTGGCATCCCCTACAAATGGTCTTTTTTATTATT